TATTAGATAATTATATGTTTGATAATCTTAATGGTAAGCTTCTTTATTGATATTACTGACATGGTACATAATTTTTTTAAGTATGGAAAATTGTATGTATAGTACTAACAAAAACTAACAGCTGTATAAATATGTTATTTTACTAATGTTAACGAGGCCGGGATAAGGTACCGGTACTTGATGTTTTCCACTAACAAATGTACTGATTTCAATAAAATATGATAAATTAAAAAAAAAAAAAAAAAAAAAAAAAAAAAAAAGTGACGCTACCCAAATTTGTACTTGATCGGATTTTTGTGGTAATAAGCATTGTGTATAAGTTTCATTACATTTGGTGGAGACAAACTTAATTTAGAGTAGGGAAACGAAAAATTCAGCATTTTTTTTCATTTGTAAATGGGCATAACTCTAGAACAGTAGAAGTGTCGCCACCAAAATTCAAACTTGATCTGTGTTTTGTGGTAAAAAGCATTGGGCATAAGTTTCATAACATTTAGCTGAGGCAAACTAAAGTTAGAGAACGGAAACGAAAAATTCAGCAATTTTTCCATTTGCAAAGTGGCATAACTCTAGAACTTTAAACGTGACGCCACCAAAATTCATACTTGATCTGTGATTTGTGGTAATAAGCATTGTGTATAAGATTCATAATATTTGGTTGAGGCAAACTAAAGTTCGAGAACGGAAACTAAAAATTTAGCAATTTTTCCATTTGTAAAGGAGCATAACTCTAGAACGGTAAAAGTGACGCCACCAAAATTCAAACTTGATCTGTGTTTAGTAAAAATAAGTATTGTGTATAAGTTTCATAACATTTGGTTGAGGCAAACTAAAGTTAGAGAGCGGAAACCAACTTTGGGACATACGGAAAAAGGATGGAAGGACGGATGTACAGAAGGACAAGGGTAAAACTTAATGTCCCCTCAGCTACGGCAGGGGGCATAAAAACAAATATGACAGACATGAACCAATAACGAACACTAAACCACAGGGTCCTGACTTGGGACAGGCTCATAAAGAATTTCGAGGGGTCAAACTTGTTTGTGAGTACTCAACCATCCCCCTAACCTGGGACAGTGGTGTTACAGCACAACATAAGAACAAACTATATTAATTAGTTGAAAGGGGTTAACTCATCAGATCGATAATAAGCAGAAAAATATCCAATAACAAGAATGTGTCCATAATACACGGATGCCCCACTATCATTTTCTATGCTCAGTGGACTGTGAAATTGGGGTCAAAACTCTAATTTGGCATTAAAATTAGAAAGATCATATCATAGGGAACATGTGTACTAAGTTTCAAGTTGATTAGACTTCAACTTCATCACAAACTACCTTGACCAAAAATTTTAACCAGAAGCAGGACAGATGGACGGACGGACCAACGGACAGACGAACAAACAGACGCACAGACCAGAAAACATAAAGACCCTACTACTATAGTAGGTGGTGCATAAAAACACAGACCGGACGTGGCAGGGTTATTATACATCCCTAAAAATAATAAATGGGGAATATGTCCCTGGGACAGATGATGCCCCCGTTTGTATATGTTATAAAGGGACATTACTAAAGAACGGTAAAAGTGACGCTACCCAAATTTGTACTTGATCGGATTTTTGTGGTAATAAGCATTGTGTATAAGTTTCATAACATTTGGTGGAGACAAACTTAATTTAGAGAAGGGAAACGAAAAATTCAGCATTTTTTTTCATTTGTAAATGGGCATAACTCTAGAACAGTATAAGTGATGCCACCAAAATTGAAACTTGATCTGTGTTTTGTAGTAATAAGCATTGTGTATAAGATTCATAATATTTGGTTGAGGCAAACTAAAGTTAGAGAACTGAAACGAAAAATTCAGCAATTTTTCCATTTGTAAAGGGGCATAACTCTAGAACAGTATAAGTGATGCCACCAAAATTCAAACTTGATCTGTGTTTTTGTAGTAATAAGCATTTTGTATAAGATTCATAATATTTGGTTGAGGCAAACTAAAGTTAGAGAATGGAAACGAAAATTCAGCAATTTTTCCATTTGTAAAGTGGCATAACTCTAGAACTGTAAAACTGACGCCACCAAAATTCAAACTTGATCTGTGTTTTGTGGTAATAAGCATTATGTATAAGTTTCATAACATTTGGTTGTGGTAAAGTAAAGATAGAGAATGGAAACCAATTTTGGTAGGTACAGACGGACGTACAGACGGACAAGGGTAAAACTTAATGCCCTCTCCGCTATGGCAGACCCAAAGTACAGATCTAAGAGTACTAGCAATTACTGACAGCTAATTCAAAGCCAATAACAGCTAACAAAAAATTTATGTATCTAAGACTGAAATATCAATCAGTACACATCCAACATCCAATAATGGATTTAGTCTAAAGAAATCATTAACAGTCAGACAAAAACATGACCTTGTGCAATGCCAAAATATAGCTATAGACAGATTGTAGTAACATTAAAGTGCATATGTACTTTATTTTGCCGCTTTAACTTTTTTTTATGAGAGCGTCACTGATGACAAAACACACATCTGGCGTACAAAATTTAATCCTGGTACCTATGATGAGTTTATTCACTTTTTTACACTTGCACTTTCTTTCCTCAATTTTAACTTCTTTTTATTCTAGGTTTTTCATAAAAATTTCATAATTTCAGTGCAATACACCCTAATACAGATGGGATAATTACTATATCAGAGGTATGACTCGTAACATATTATATTACATGGCATTGACAAGATCAAGCATCCATAAACTGCCATTTGGCCTGAAGTGATATGAATTATTTGTTATATTATACTGAACTGTTAAAGAGATCATACAAATCAGCAGAATTTCATTTAAAAAAAAATAATTTAGAAGCCAAATTCATATATCAGTTTTATATTTAAACAGCACAAAACATTTACTTTCTAAATGCAACTGCTCTATTTCAGATAACAATGAGAACAAAATGATTTTCTTAATTAATTTGAAAATTTATTATTTTTAACCCACTTAACTGAAATAATTTTTAAATTCTTTATCAAAACCTTCTTTATCAATATTCAAGATGTCACAGTACAATAAACAAAGTCCTGCTGTTCCAGTTGAATATATGATATATGGACCAGCCGATATTTAATAGATAAATAGGAGCAATATAAGTACATATATTATAAAATAAGTTTCATATCAGTAAGGATTCTACTTTGTCAAAATTGTCTCCCCATCATGCCATATAATTTTTAAAGCTGGAAAATGGAAGCCAATGCAGGGATGACACGCTGTCAATTAAGCTCTTGAAAATGGATAAGTTTATCCACATGGCATCATAATGATCCTTATATGACAGTTGTATTCTAAAATACAAATGTATCTTCTAGTTATAAAGCATTAATTAATGTACTTTTAATATAAAAATAAGGAGATGTGGTATGATTGCCAATGAGACTACTATCCACCCAAGTTTAAATATAGTGGATGTAAGCAATTATAGGCAACCGTACGGTCTCCAACAATGAGAAAAACCTATACAGTATAGTCGGCTATAAAAGGCTCCGACATGAAAAATATGAAACAATTCAATTGAGAAAACTAACGGCCTAATTTATAACAAAACAATTTCTGAAAAAACAAATATGACAGACATGAACCCAATGACAACAACTGAACTACAGGCTCCTGACTTAGGACAGGCATATAAAGAATGTGGCGGGGTTAAACATGTTTGTGAGTGCTCAACCTTCCCCTTAAAAAAACACCACATTCACATGCATTATTCTGACTGAGCAAAATACTCTTTCCTTTTGCTCCTAAAAGCTGCAATGCATTTAAAACTCTTAAGCTTGACTAGAAGTGGTTGAACCAATTACACATCCATAATTATTATGAGCATGCCAATCACAATACCACCACCTTGCTCTCAAACGTTAGAACTCTTAAATTTCCCCTTACAAAAGAGTTCTGCTTGCATGCAAAATAGAATAACAAGGGAATATGGGGTTTCTTCAAAATAATATAATTCTGTGATTTTTTTAAAAGTTCAGGGGAATTTACAATTAATTTCATCCAAGATAGATAATTGTATGTCTATGCCTGTTGAAACAAGGATCGGGAATGACGTAGGTTCTACCAAATATTGATGTGATTGTGGTCATCTAACGAAAGTGTTTTAATTTTTGCCTCCTAGAACAGGTCTTCAAAGGTAAAATGAGATGCATTTCAGATAACTCTGTGTTCAATAACTACTTGTCCACAGTAATGAGCTGACACAACTGCATGTTGGCATCCCGATTTTTGACCTTATTTACAAATCGATTTATCACATGTGCGTTTGAATCGATCGGAGCAATATATGCAATAGAAAAACATCTATGTGTGAAAAAAAAATTCAAGCAGAAACTAATTTTGGAGCGGCATGTGGACCAAAAATTTGAGGAAGCGGTAATTATTTTTTTGATTGAAAACATAATTTCTCCAAAACAGGAGTGGGAAAATCCAAAGAACTATTAATCAAATTGGTGTGGCCTTATCTTTCATTTTTAGGTACTGTGATTTTTTTTGAATGATACTTTATCATATAGCCTTTATAAGTAATAATAATGGAATCTGAAGCAAGATAATGTATCAAATATTTTTGAAAATATTAAATGTTAATTTTATGCTTTAAAAATATCAACATTTTACCTTTCTGTGGATTTTTTCGGAAGAATTTATGCTTATGCATAAAAGACCTAAATGTATTTGCACCTACCATAATCTACTGTTTTATGAAAATTTGTCAAGTTTACAAATATCTCGAAGCTCCATACTATAATTTGAGTAAAAACATGTATATAAGTTGCCAAAAAACACAAATTATGGACCTATTGTAAACTTTAAAGGCCATAGAAACAGATGTGAACAATCCAAATATATTCTCTTATAAAGAGTTTAATTTCAACTGGATAGCAACCTAATATTACACCATAAAGAAAGTTATTGCTGTTTGTTTTTCAATGGCACTTACCATTTATCTGTATCAGCAACTATACCAACAGCTTCAGATATTGTTTCATCTAACACAGAATGCTAAAATTTGAAAAGTTTTTATTACATTGAAATCACATATTCTAACTGATAATGAGTGATTTTTAAGAAGACATTAATAACATTTTATCTTTTCTTTTCTTATGTTGCAAAATAGAAATTATGTCAGAGTTGTGTTTCTTGAATTAGTACAAAACTTTTTCAAAAAGATCCTATTTTATTTCAGAAATAAATGTTGATAGTGTCCACATGTGGACACAGATGATGCCCCCGCTTGCATATCACATAGTTATAAAGGGACATAACTGAAGAACGGTAAAAGTGACGCTACCCAAATTTGAACTTGATCTGAGTTTTGTGGTAATAAGCATTGTGTGTAAGTCTCATAACATTTGGTTGAGGCTAACTTAAGTAGAGAACAGAAACTAAACATTCAGCAATTTTTCTATTTGTAAACACGCATAACTTTAGAACAGTTGTGTATAAGTTTTATAACATTTGGTTGAGACAAACTAAAAAATTCAGCAATTCTTATGTTTATAAAGGGACATAACTCAAGAATGGTTAAAGTGTTGCCACCAAGTTTCGTACTTAATTTCTTGCAATTTTTCCATTTAAAAAAGGACATAACTCTAGAACGGTTAAAGTGATGCCACCAAAATTCAAACTTGATCTGTGTTTTGTGGTAATAAGCATTGTGTACAAGTTTCATAACATTTGGTTGAGGCAAACTTAAGTTAGAGAACGGAAACTAAAAATTTTGCAATTTTTCCATTTATAAAAGGGCATAACTCTAGAAGGGTTAAAGTGACGCCACCAAAATTCAAACTTGATCTGTGTTTTGTGGTAATAAGCATTATGTATAAGTTTCATAACATTTGGTTGAGGCAAACTCAAGTTAGAGAACGGAAACCAATTTTGGGATGACAGACGTACGTACAGAAGGACAAGGGTAAAACTTAATGCCCCCACCGCTATGGCGGGGGAATAATAAAAAAAAAATTCCTGAATTATTTTTCAAACTCACCTGAACAGATAGCTGTAAATCCTTCATCATTTTACAATTAAAACTAGATTCTGATGTACCATGTAATACAAAGTCTGACAGGTAATGATTAGAATAACCTGCTAAAAGTGACCTGCCAAAATTCCTGTCAAATAAGTTAATACTTCTGCCAGACATCTTATCACATATGCTAAAAATATAAAATGTGTATAACAATAATATTTAGTTTAATTTTGATATACTGATGAATATCGACAATATTCAGACATTTAATTAAATAGGAATCAAGTGACTTTTTGTCCGATTTATCCCATTTACACCCAATTTTTATTCTTATTCTAGAAATAGGTGTATTATGTACCAGTACCATTTTATTTATTTCTTAATTATTTTCAAAATGTGATATTCGAATATCCACAATATCAATATATTTATTTAAATAAGAATCAAGAGATTTTTTAACAATATTATGTACCAGTAAGAACATTTTGATGACCTGACAACACTGTTTCCAACCTATTTTAGATGGAGGATTATATGACCATATTAATGAAATTCATGTCAACGCAGAAGTGTTGACTACTGGGCTGGGGAGGAAATCTCCACTAGCAGTGGCATTGAACCAGTGTTTGTAAATAAACTCATCAAAGATACCAATGGAGTTGCATTTCAGGAAAGTGACCCCAATTGATTGACTTAAAAATTATACATGAAAAAGAAAAAGAGAAAGAGAAAGAGCAAACCTTTCAATTGAAAAAGAAAGACCACCAAATGTTTTGAGGGACCAGCAAAGGTTTGCACTCTGTCAGTCATGGGTCAGAAAAACAAATGAAGACTGGAGAATTCAGATAATAATTACCCGGTAGTCTTAAAGCAACCACCAGCACATCATGGACACTAATATAATGGGTTTGAAAAACAACCACTGACACATCATTTGATTGAAATACAACTAGAGCTGTGTGCATATCAGGACTAATACATGCATTTCGGTTGCTGCTGTTAAATTCAGTATTGAGGCAATGACGTTTTGAGATTTTGTTTTCAGCCATTCATTGTATAATCACTGCCTCTGTATTTAATAGATTGACACCTGGCAATCTAATTATACTGACAAGGAACAATGTCTGAGGTTAACTGTAAATTCAGAAATTAAAGGTTAAGATCAAGGTCTGTATAATGCTTATGCATACAAAATTTGTCAATCTAGGTGCTACAATACAAAAGTTATGCACCAAACACAAATCAGAAAATGTTTTACTATGGTAAGGATCAAAGATCAAATTCAAGGTCAGAGTGACCTGACTAATATATGACACACCCCATCCATGATGTATCAGCATACCAAGTTTGGTCAATCCAAGTTCTATGGTACAAAAGTTGTGTGCAGGACACAAATCCTACAAGGTTTTACTATGATAGGGTTCAAAGGTTAGAGTGACCTCATTTGGGTACAGATCCCAAGCCCATGATGCAACTGCATACTAATGTTGGTTAACTCAGGTTTTACTGTACAAAAGATATGAGCCAGACAGAAATTGGATAAGATTTTACTGTCATAGAGGTCAAAGGTCAAAGTTTGATTATTTCATTTTTAATTTAGCATTATACAAATACATGTAAAGGATATTACATAGAATTATATATAATATATGAAAGAAAAAATTCTTCAAATTCAGAGTGACCTGACTTTGGTGTATGACACACCCCCAGCTCATGATGCAACTGTATACAAAGTTCAAATTTTATGGTACACAAGTTATGCACTGAACACGAAGCTGGACTGATGGACAAACGGACATGGTGATTCCTATATACCCCCAAAACTTTGTTTGCAGGGGGTATAACTACTGAAACAGCCGCGTTACTCAAATAACTACTTTGAAAAATTTCATAAGGGGTTTCGCGGAACCCTGTGTCTCGCCTATGTTTGCTGCTGTCAGTGTAAAAGTGTAATGTTGACTTAAAAAGTGAGTCCCTTTATCAGTAAAAATGTAAAATACAGAATTAAAAAAAAAATTCAAACTTTTTCTTTAGATGCTATTTCTTGGTCTTGAAGATAAGCTTCTATCAAATTTTCATAACAATCCATGAAGATTTACAAACTTATCATGTAAAAAAAATTTCATTCCAGACTATCTGTAAATCTTTACTGTAAAAACCTAAGTCCATCAATCAGAAAAATAGTGAAAATGAAAATATATTTTCAAAAGTTTGCTTCAGACATTATCTCTTAATCATAAAAAAGTTTCTGCCAAAGTGTCATAAAATTATACTTTAATCCCAGACTGTATCTACTTGTTAACTGTAAAAAAAAACCTATTTTTTTTCTATTAAGTCCATTTATCAGTAAAATACGGAAAAATGAAAATAAATAAAATTCCATGAAGGTTTGACAAAGTTATATATTGATGTCTAAAAAAACTGTAACCACAGACTGAACCTAAATGTTGACGACGCCGATGACGGAATCTAGGATCGCTATGTCTCGCTTTCGCAACATAAATGTTGCAGGCTCAACAAAAATAACCTTTGACACTGAATGGACAATAAACTATCTGGTTTGAAAAAGCATGAACACTAAAATAACGAGGTTTGAAAACGTCACGGTTAGATTCAGCATATCCAAGTACACCAAGAATTTAATTTATCTATTTATTAATGGAAAATATTAGCTAAGTTTTTAAAGGGGTTCGCTTCATAAAAAAATGGGGAATGTGTCAATGGGACACAGATGATGCCCTCGCTTGCATATCACCTTATAAAAGGACAAAACTCAAGAACAATAAAAGTGACGCCACCCAAATTCATACTTGATCTGAGTTTTGAGGTAATAAGCATTGTGTATAAGTTTCATAACATTTGGCTGAGGCAAACTTATGTTAAAGAACGGAAACGAAAAATTCAGCAATTTTTCCATTTGTAAAGGGGCATAACTCTAGAACGGTAAAAGTGACAACACCCAAATTCAAACTTGATCTGTGATTTGTGGTAATAAGCATTGTGTAAAAGATTCATAACATTTGGTTGAGGCAAACTAAAATTAGAGAACGGAAACTAATTTTGGGACGTACGTACGTACAGATGGACAAGGGTAAAACTTAATGCCCCCTCTGCTTCTGCAGGGGCATAACTTACATACGTACAGCTGGACAAGGGTAAAACTTAATGCCCCCTCTGCTACGTCGGGGGCATAAAAAGTTTAATTTTGGACACTTTAGACCTCAATATGTAACAATTTAATAACATGGCACAAAATCCAAAATATAATAAAATGCTCCGCAGGGCGCAGCTTGATACGACCGCAGAGGTCGAACCCTGAACAGTTGGGGCAAGTATGGACACAACATTCAAGCTTGATACAGCTTTGCATTTGGATTGTGATTAAATATTTGACACAGCATAGGTTTCTGACACAGAATGAATGTGGTCTAAGAACTTAAAAATTTTGAATTGGACATTCACCTATTATGGTCCAATATCCAAAATCTAAATACATGGTTAGATTCAGCATATCAAAGAACCCAATATATTCAATTTTTGTTGAAATCAAACAAAGTTTAATTTTGGACCCCGATTTGGACCAACTTGAAAACTGGGCCCATAATCAAAAATCTAAATACATGTTTAGATTCAGCATATCAAAGAACCCTAAGAATTCAATTTTTGTTAAAATCAAACAAAGTTTAATTTTGGACCCTTTGGACCTCAATGTGGACCAATTTAAAAACAGGGCCCAAAATCCAAAAACTAAATACATGGTTAGATTCAGCATATTAAAGAACCCTAAGAATTCAAGAATAAAACCCCATTGAAATTGGTCAAGTAATAAGCAATTTATAAGAAGTATCTTCTTTTGCACAATACTGTGCAATTAAATATTTCTTGCTATTGCGCAATACTGTACAATTGACAATTTCTTGCTATTGCGCAATATTGTGCTATTGGATATTTCTTGCTATTGCGCAATACTGTGCAATTGAAGATTTCTTGCTATTGCGCAATACTGTGCAATTGAAGATTTCTTGCTATTGTGCAATACTGTGCAATTGAAAATTTCTTGCTATTGCACAATACTTATTATATAATAATTTACACATCCTGTTTGGTGTGTATCTCCTACCATATCATTATTATTTGCTTTTAAATATAAATCAGAAATAACCAACTTAAAATGGAAAATTTTAAAAGAAAAAAAAAAGGAAAAAAAGAAAAAAAAGGAAAAAAAAAGGAAAAAAAGAAAAAAAAAAGGAAAAAAAAATCCCCCCCCCCCCAAATTTTTTGAACCCCCTTATGATTCATCACCCCCAAACTCAATCCCAGCCTTCCCTTTGTGGTATGGTACCTTGCAGTACAATTTCAGAGAGATCCATACACTTGAACACAAGTTATTGTCTGGAAACTAGAAAAATGTGTTTTTTGGCCCCTTTTTGGCCCCAAATTCCTAAACATTTAGGGAAATTACCCCCAAACTCAAACCCAGCTTTCCCTTTGTGATATGGAACCTTGTAGTACAATTTCAGAAAGATCCATACACTTACACACAAGTTATTGTCCTGAAACTAGTAATTTGCTTGTTTTTTTCCCCTTTTTGGCCCCTAATTCCTAAAATATTGAGGCAATTACCCCCATCATCAATCCCAGCCTTCCCTTTGTGGTATGGTACCTTGCAGTACAATTTCAGAGAGATCCGTACACTTGAACACAAGTTATTGTCTGGAAACTAGAAAAATGCTTATTTTTGGCCCCTTTTTGGCCCCCAATTCCTACACGTTTCGGCAAATACCCCCAAACTCAATTCCAGCTTTCCCTTTGTGATATGGAACCTTGTAGTACAATTTCATAAAGATCCATACACTTACACACAAGTTATTGTCATGAAACTAGAAAAATGCTTGTTTTTTGCCCCTTTTTTGGCCCCTAATTCCTAAAATTTTGAGGCAATTACCCCCAAAATCAATCCCAGCATTCCTTTTGTGATATGGAACCTTGTGGTACAATGTCAGAGAGATCCATACACTAACACACAAGTTATGTCTGGAAGTTACAAAAATGCTTATTTTTGGCCCCTTTTTGGCCCCTAATTCCTTTACGTTGGTACCATAACCCCCAAAATCAATCCCAACCTTCCTTTTGTGGTATTGAACCTTGTGGTAAAATTTCATAGAGATCCATTCACTTAAACTAAAG